GTGTGCTCGTTGTTCAACTCCTTTAAAAACTATATTTCAAAAGTGCTCAGGCAAACAATATTAGCGTACACGCAGTTCAAATCGCGGCTCCTAGAGAAGGCGTTTCTTACGATCCTAACTGTGCACACAGCTGCCACTCCAAGCAGAAAGGGTAGGGACGCTCAACGTTTCCTCATGCTGCCTGCGTTCCTTTGAGCGCACTGCCTAAGTTTCTGGCTGGCACGGTGACAATCCGCTGCCACACTCATAACTTGTTTATGCGCTCTCCATGCGCGGTGATAAGGCCCCGGTAGGGTAATGGATAACGCAACGCCCCGTAAGCGAGAGATGAGGGTTCAAGTACCGTCCCGGGTCCGACCTTTGCCAATATTTTCTTGTGGTATGAGAAACAATTCCCCACTGCACCCCATCTGCTCATAACGCATTTACAAAACTGCTAATTGCCAGCTGATTCATTCGAGCGAATAGAATAAAGGAAAGATCGGATTTCGTTTGGGAGCTCATCTGATGGAGTTACACGCGCGCACAGAAACAAATTTGGGAAATGCACCCTCAAAAGTCATAACTATGCAATAGGTGCATTATATACCCACTGAAAGTTTACCACCCGTAAGAGCCGCCAAGATGTAATCGATAAGAACAAAGAACCTCAAAACAAACAGATTGTAAAGACATGAAAAGAGAAGTAATTATCAGCGAACCTGAACCACTTTAAGCTGTTCAAAATCGAAAGGGCCTTTTTTGCCTTTCCTCGGTCGAACGATAGAACCATTATGACCGGCAGATTGCAAGCCAGATTCCGATTGTTCTCCTTCGCTATCAGAAGTATCATCCACTTTCACAGAAGCATTACTGAAAAAAAAATTTGAAGAGAGACATCACATGCCACATCACAACAAAAAACTAACCCATGGGCAGCGCTTTTCATTCTCTGGAATGCTCCACGAAAAAGACCGCTGGCATAACTACCGTAACTTCGTGCCCATGTTTTTGCATTATCGAAGCTAGAACGTGAGCTTGGAAACCGCTCCAGACGAACTTCATCACTGAAAAACAAGAAGAGTTGGTCATTTGCCCAAGCATTCCTTGTAGAGAACACCATCGCTGGAAATTACAACAAGGAGGAGGGCGGGGGTCGTATTTTACCGCTAAACAGGGGGGGCTCCAAAGCGGAGGGGTCAGTCAGTGCTCAGGAATGACAAAGTATAGTAAAGTTATGGGCCCTTGTAAGACCTTAGGAACACATTTCCGAACGAACATCACGGAGAAATTACATATTACCATCACCTCTGCGTGAGAGTTACGGCCTTATTTACTGCGGATGATGGGGCGTGTGAGCGTGGCTGCATTCGGAGCGGAGCCCTACTGTTTTTTTCTCTTTCGGCAAGCGACAAGCCTCTATCACATCGCTCGTATCAGTTTTGTTATGATAACTGCGCTTAACGGGTTC